CTTGATGTCTACTTGAGATCAGCTGATCCTTCCTGCCAGTCATTAGCCAGGTGATGAAGAGTTAGCAGCATTGCCTTCAAGACAAGAGGGTTGCATTTCGACCTGGAAAGGCATAAGGATGGCAACCCTTATGTTACCCATCAATTACTTTAATGAGCACAAGAGAGCATCTTGTCACACTGCCAAACACTATAGGAATTAAGAATAACTCAGTCCACAATTCAGAGTGGGATGGCTAACTGAGCTCCATGCCATGCCATAGCTGAGGGCTCCAGAACGGACTCGGGTCTACAGGGGATCTGTGTTAATGGGGACATTGCAGTGGCAGAGTTTCTCCATCTCTGTGACCTTGGTCTCCTTGGCAGAACAGAGGGAGCCACCAGAACCAGGAGAGTGGAACAGGAGTTGTTTAATGGATACCGAGGTCCAGGTTTGTAAGATGAAAAGAACTCTGAAGATGGCTTGCACAAAAATGTGAATGAGTAGATGTTCCTCGCTTCAGGAGTCACATGCTGCTAAAGCCACCAGAAACTGAAAGTATAGTCAGTCAAAGTGCATTGGCTACACATAACCTGTTACCTCGGGGCACAGAGGCACAGTACACTTGCTTTGGCCACTGTTGCCCTTGTGGTTGAGTGGCTGCCTGATCACCGAGGTTCATCACTGGTACCCAACATCTTGAGAATGTCGCACACCCTCATAGTGCTAGCCTGGCAAAGATAAACCCTCAAAATCTCATATACAGCTCCCACTGAATGTTGCCACTTTTGTTCCATGGCAACCTTTTAAGCTCGTAGATGGAGCCATCACACGTGGCTACCAACTGCGCTTTACTGAACTATACACCTACAAACAGCTGAGATGGGGCTGGGCACGTGGCTCAGTTGTAGAGCGCTTCCCTCGCATGTGTGAGGCTTCTCAGTTCTGTCCTCAGCTCTGGAAAACAGAAAGGAGTTAAGATGCCAATAGTAGTGTTGCATGTGTTTTGCTTAAAAAGAAATTAGGTTAAAAAAAAATACAGACCCACTGGATAGCAAAACCAAAACCATAGGTGACAAGCTGTTCGTGCAGTCGCTACAGTGCAAGTGGGTTGGAACCTGCGCCACAGGCCTTGGGAAGTCAGCAGCCGTGAGGAAGGATGCAGGGAAGGAAAGTACGTCACATCATGATGCCTCTGACCACAGGAAGCTCCAGCGGATGCTCCCTGGGATAGCCACACCTGGGTGGGAGCCAGGGAGCCAGCGGAGGTGCTGAGGGAGCTGCAGGCTCGTGGACCTCTAACCTACAGAGAGCTGCTATGACCGTGAACGGGTAGTTCAAAACTGGGCGGTCCAGAGACAATGAGGCAGATAAAAGCTGGGGAGGGAAACAAAAGCAGGAAGCCACAGGAAGAAGGTCATCCAATTTTTATCACTAAATGAGAAAGTCCAAAACGGTGCTCTGTGAAGCTGCAGAAAGGAGTCCTGGGCAGCAGCTCCTTGGAAAAGTGTATGGATTTCACATAAAAATAAGCAGAGAGGAAGATCAAAATCAAAATCAAGCCTCACACTGGAAAGAGTGAAGAGGGCTGGGGGGTGTAGCTCAGCTGTGGGAGGCACCGGCCCAGCGTGTGGGTGGCCCTGGTTTCCATCTCCAGCACTGGGGGCAAATGTGAGAGGGTCAGACAACACCCCCTAAAAACTAAAGAACATGTTACATACATAAAAACTGTAGCTCTGTTTTATAAAATGAGCTAAAAGACATTTTGAAATAAGAATTAGAAGTCATAATTGAAGCGAATAGCGAATAATTAGAAATAAAAGACCTATTTCTGAAATAGAAGCAAAGTCAAAAGAAACACCAGAGCAAGTAATAGCCACTCAAAAACAGCAGGGCAGGTGAACTGAGGAGGTGGCAGTGGAGAAGAGCCCTTGCTGTGCAAGCAGAAAGATCCGAGTTTGAATCCCCAGCATCTGTGTAAAAAAGCCAGGCCTGGCCACATACGCCAGTAACACTGGCATTGGAGAGACAAACAGATCACAAGAGCTCACTGGTCAGACAGTCATCCAAAATGGTGAGCCTCAGGCTCAACGAGAGACCCTGTCTCCAGGGAATAAGGCAGAGAACTATAGAGGACAACTAACACACACACACACACACACACACACACACACACACACACACACACACACGAGAGGGGGGATTTAAATCTAAGAAAATTAGCAAAACCTATCAACAGTGAAGAAAAGAAGAGCAACTACAGACAGTAAAACACGTGAAGACCTCACACAGAGTCCACACAAGCAATTAGAAGAACAATCGCCAATAGTGCTGCCCCTTCAGCTTGCCCTAGATTTACAGAACTCCTCTCACTGCTGGGAAATGTGTGAGAAAATAGCATTCTCATAAATATTGCCAAGGCTGTGCATTGCCCAAGTAATCTAGGAATGCCTGCTAAAATTAAATGTTTCCATGCACTTGGACCCAGCAGTTTCAGAACTGGGAACCCATTGTACAGAAGAAACACGAACATCAGGATGTACATAAAGGAGTGTGTATGGACTTGTCGTTAACATGCAGAAGAAAAACCATCCAGGCTTCTCTTGAACAAAACCACGCCGTGGAACACTGTGTAGTTCCAGAAGACAATGAAGTCCATCTGTTGGTATTGATCTGCACAGATAAGCTTTGATACATTGACGGTCCAGTGAATGGGGAGACCTGCAGGGTAATATGTCTGACTATTTTTTTTTCATTTTAAAAAGGAAATGAAAAATTCTATACAATGAATATGGGCTACTCGGGGCAGGTTTCTAGTAGGATTAAAGAAGACGGCTTATTGTCTCTTCTCATGCCTGTGTGGTGTTTGAATTGGTATCCTAAGCATGTGCTCTTGTGTTTTCTTAATGCCAATGAAAACATTTGGAAAGAATACTGTTTCCCTCAGGTAGTGTAAGTGGTGCTGTAAACTTAAAGGAATTTGCTCTAGCTGTGTGGCCAGCACCTCTACTTGCTAAGCCATGTTAACAGCCGTCTGCCTTTTTTCAACTAGCAAAAATGTAATCAAAATCGGAGTTGGACTCATACGTATAGGTCAATATAGGAGAGTTCACGCATGGCGTCTGGGACCTCTGGTTGTGAAAGGGGAGGTTATAAAGACTCTCCGGAACTTGGAAGGCTGACTCTGGGGAAGGCTGACTCCCCTAATGTAACTGAGACTTGGGCTGCTGTGTGGTTCTGTCTCCTTCCATTTCATGTGTAGAAACAAAGAATCAATCAGAGAGGACTCAAGGCCCCAAAGGGACCTCTTGGGTCACTACTCCATCCTTCCCATTTAACTGTTTAAAAAACAGAGGGTCCCACAAAGCACAAAGAAAAAAAAGCTGAAGACTAACAGAATATGGTGGGAATGGAGCCAAGTCCCACTTAGCCTGCCTGTCAGCAGTGTCCTCCCTGACGCTGGGCTCTACCTCTGCCTGACACACACCATCACTGGCTCAGTTGCTTGGCATGCATTGCCTTTTACCTGTGCACCCAAAGCCTGTTGGGTGCCCATTACTTACATAAGATCCCAAGTACGATCTAATTTATCAATGTCAATGGACCAGGAAGGCAAAATGATTTGGTTACAACCCCAGAGTAGAAGCATTTCTGAGCCAGAATAAAAACTCTGCACGATCCTTTGTTTTGTGTTGGAGATCTAGAGTCACCATCTGTCTCTCTCTGGATTGAGGATTCTAGTCTTGCTTTAGAGATCAGGGCTCTGAAGCCAGTGAGATGGCTCAGCTGGTAAAGGTGTCCACTCCCAAACCTGGCAACCTGGTATGAACCCCAAGACCCACATGGTGAGAGGAGAGAACCAACTCCTGCAAGTCGTCCTCTGACTTCCATATGTGTGCTGTGCCACACGTGTGCCCACACACATGCACACGTGATGGGGGATGTCCTTCTGAATATATGTTTCTCCTATTGGTTGATGAATAAGAAACTGTTGGCCTATAGCCAGTAGAGGCAGGGAGATGGGCAGGATTAGGAGACGAGGAGAATTCTGGGAGAGGTAGGCAGAGAGGTGCCGCGAGAGGATGTCTCGCTGCCCAAGGAGTAACATGCTGGATTACCGGTAAGACACAGCCTCGTGGAAATACATAGATTAAAGAAAAATGGGTCCATAGTTAAGACAGAGCTGGCCAATAAGAAGCCTGAGCCATCGGCCAGCAGTTTAGTAATTAAAATAAGTCTTTGTGTGCTTATTCGGGGATAAAGTGGTGGCAGGACCTGGTGGGACAAGAAGCTTCAGCAACAAAAACATGCTTCACCACACCATATATTCATAAGTATGTGAAAACAGATCAGGGTCCCACAGTAGCTGGAACTATTGTGGTTTGGATATGAAATGTTCACATGGCAAGGCTGAATGGACATACTGGGAAAAGATTTTGCAGGTTATAACCTGCCACCCTTGCTAAGCCAAACACTCCTGTTTTCTGACCTGCCGAAGTGGCGACAAGTGGTCTTCCAAACTCTCATTGCCATAGAAGAGTCTCTCTCACTACCCCTCCTTCCTGGTCTCGAGCCCAAGAAGTCCTTCCTTCTGCCCTTAAGTTGTGTCTGTCAAGCATTTGTCACAACAGTGAAAAAAGTCACTAATATCTCAGATAAGAGGATTTTTTTCACATATACTCAAAACTGAACCCCTTGCCACCACCAGGAATCCCGAGGTCTCACTGCAGCCCCCGCTTGAATTTAGGCTCGGTGAGAGGCCCTGGGTGGTAGTTAATGCTTCCATCACCAAATGGTTTTTGCTCAAGGTCCAAGCATCGCTGTCTGGATTGGAGGGTCACACCACACAGGAAGAAGTATGTGACTAATAAAGAATGCAGCTTTAGAGACTGCGAGTCCAGACAGCCTCTGATAAACTTTTAAACAAAGGTCAGGAATGTTTTCCTTTGTGGGGAGTAAAATATGTGGTCTATGGTGTGGAGCGGGGGGGGGGGGGGGGTGGAGCAGGACAGTTCCTAACATCAGTTTCCCCTCTCCATAATTTCTAAGCATCTCAGCAGCAGCTGTGTTAAATGCCCCACCCCCAGGCTTTAGGCCATTGCTCCGTAGAAGCCGTAAGAGAAGAGACACATGGGGGATTCCAAAGTGATGACCAGGCAAGCTTAACCTTGACAACCTCGGAGGAAGTTTCCTACCCTGTAGCCAAGAACATTCTAGAAAGTACCCACCCAAGGTCCCACTTTAAAATACCCAAGTTAGGATCCCTACTTCCTGTACTGACAAAAGGGGGAAGCCCTGGAGAGGAAGCCGGTGTTGACTCCTGGGAGAGAAACAGTGAAGTGGACCATAAGGCATCCCTTGGCATTCCTAACCCACCCGGGAGATTCCAGAGGCGCCAGACAAGGTCAGGGCGAGGGGTTGAAGCATGGGGAGTTGACGTTGCCATCCTGACGGGGAAGGAATGGGGTAGCTCCGTAACGAAAGGCACATCCTTGGTACGTATCCACTCCTCTTTGCACCTCCCTTACCGCCCTGTGCTCTGCCTTCCCATGCTCTCCCGCCCAGCCTGTGTTGTAGGGAAAGGGGTGTGGGTTAGACTGGAGCTGCCCCTGGCCAGCTATAAATAGAATACGAAAAGAAAATTCACAGAGGAAGCTCCCTCTAAACGGCCAGGCAGGGGTGGGGCTGGGAGATAGGTTTTGCTGTAAACTTGAGTACGGTCACTTCCCTGGCTTCAGTCATGGCCGGCTTCCCAGAGCACACAGGGCTGGGCCAGGCAGAATGTGGGAGATAGTGACAGCGGGGAAGTGACTTCATCTTATCCCATCCCCATGTCCCCTCGCCGTCTTATACATGGTGTCACTCAGTCCTCCGTCACCACAGCAAACACCCATGAGAGCTCATAGGCCGAAAAGGTCACTGTCACTCACACTTTGGGAGGTTTCCGTCCCTAATTTGGGACCTGTGATGAAGCATAGTGACAAGGAAATGTGAAGTAGAGAAAAACTGCTCACCTTGTGACTAGAATGTGGGCAGGCACACACACACACACACACACACACACACACACACACACACGCACACTGGGAGCTAGAGCGATAGATGGCTCAGTGGTTAGCTCATAGTCATTTGCGACTAAGGTTCAGAGGGGGACTCTGATACTCTTCTGCTGCAAGGGTTCCTGCACCCATGTGGTGCACATAAACTCACACATATAAAAACATAATTTTTGTTTAGTTGGGCAGTAATGGTGCACATCTTTAATCCTAGTACTTAAGATGCAGAGTCAGGTGGATCTCTGTGAGTTAGGCCAGCCTGCTTTACAAAGTGAGTTCCAGGACAGCCAGGGCTGTTACACAGAGAACCCTGTCTCAAAAAGCAAAAAAAATCTTTTTTAGAAAAATAAGGGTGAAACCAAGGGGGTTTGGATTTCATTACACCCTTAACAGACACACACCCTGTAAACCAAAGGCTTCCAGTTAAGGTTGCCACAGCCTCCAACAGCAGTATGAGCTGGGACCACACATTTAACATGTGGGCTTTGAGTGGACCCTCAGTATCTAACTGTAGCAGCATCTCCCACTTTCGTCATTTAGAGTATGTTTTGAAAACTTAATCATCAGGAACACATCCCTGAGGGGCTGGTGCTTCTCCCATTGTACAGGGAGAAACTGATTGGATGGTTCATTCGTTCTTATAGCTGGGAATTAGCACAGATGCCTACCGAGGCTTTGGTCGGCTCCTACAGGATGGAAAACCATGTCAAAGAGCCATGACTACTGGAATCCTGTTAAGATGCGAGTCCTAGAGTCAACACTATTCTGGGATCTGGTGCTGAAGCTCTTGTGACTCTGACAGATCCTTGACCAGGTGGAGTCTCAGGGCCCTGTCTGTAATACACCTCATCAGGGGCTTGTGTGGATCAGCACAGACGTTGTATGCAGGGCGTGGCATTATCGTCGGTTTATTAAATGGCGGTGGGGGCAGAATTGTTCGTGGCAATGGTCGTTTTTACTGTTCACAGTAAATGAGAAAATGAGAATGAGGGTCACAGAAAAGGCACTATCAGAGGTCAGCAGCAGGGACTCTGCTGGACAGAGGTCACCTGGAAAGATACCACATAGACTTGAGCCTGCCATCTGTCTTCCCCGGTAACTCTGTTTTGGCTTTGTCCCCATATTTCCTTAGAAGAGAAATTGGGAAAGTTGCTTCTCTGTGCATGTATTTTCTGTTGAGCTGCCGAAGGCTAGGGGTTCCGTACAGAATTCATCTGCAGCCTGTCTCCAGTGTTTGCACTGGTCTTAGGGAGCCGAGGTGCTTACACTGTCAATTACTGGACCTTTTGAAGTGTGCCTACCCTGAAGAACCTCTGCTAAGGAGGGCTGTGTTAATGTGTAACACAGCGATAAGCAAAGCACTGCTCTCTTTATTGCCTTTCTTCCCCCATGTCTGTTCAGTTGGAAAGCGGAAAATGGTTCTATTTGCATCTCATCAAGCTATGTTGAATGGCAGGGGAGAAAGGGCTTTTGCTAATGAAGAACACGGGATGTTTTAGCGACACGAACCACAATGAATCACCTGCAATTTGTTTTGCGTTTTTTTTTTGAAGAAATCACAAAGCAGTGCAAAGCTGCATAGAGAGTTGATGGTGTTGAACAAGCAGCAAGGGGAGCTGAGGAGCTAGCTGTGTGTTACTTCTGTAGATGGAAGGAATGCACCCCACTTTCAAAGGCCTCAAGGTCAGTTTGAGGGTTTTCTTGTTTTTGTTTTTTCACCTAAATGGAAAGCGTTAGCCAGCAACAATGGAAACCCACATCCAGGATGCACTTGCAAACATGAGCATCTGCAGTAGAAGGCGTTGAGTTGGTCCACAAACATCTGTGACCCTCACGGGCTCGGAGCCAGCCCGGCCTGTGGGATAGTTCCCCGGGTCAGCAGGAGTAGATGGTCAAACCGGTCTTTTGAACAGTGTGACTGGAACTTTCCATTGCTGGGGGAAACTCCCAGCTATCAGCCAAGTGCATTTCTGAAATGCCTGACTGTGTCAGGGGCCCTATGGGCTGTGGGTTGGCCAGCATTCCCTCAACAAGGTCAGTGTTAAAAAACAAAGTTCCCAGGAATGTGGTACAGTTGTTTAAAAAGATTGTCTAAGGAATAATACGACATAGTGGTTAGGAGCCTGGGTTCTAGGACCCGATTGCTTAGTTTTGGTTATTGTCACCATTGTTAAAACAGAATTTCATAGATCCAAGGCTGGCTTTGATCTCACTGTATAGCCAAGGATAATGCTGAACTTCTGGTCCCCCTGCCTTTGCTGGAACTTGAGAGCTTACCACCATGTCTTGCAGCACAGCAATTGTTCTGCTCTGTATTACTACATTTAGACCTCTGTTACTGAGGTTTAAAGCTTCTTAGAGAATTCACCTTCAGGCTATCTCACAGAGTTTGCATTGGGCCTTGTGTTCCAGAGTCAGTGTTAGGTCGGTTCCCTGGCTTCTTAACATGCGCTTATCTTGAAGAAGCCCAGAGAGGGCTGTTTGAGTGTGTTCTGTGGCTGCATAAAGCATATTTACTCATGACTGTCTTATTCTGCTACATTTCTTCTGTTTAAACCTAGAATGACAAAGTTAGAAAGTCATTTTAATCCTGTTGACATTAAATAAATCATTTTCCAATACTAGTGAAAAAATTATCTTAAAATATTAAACAATAGCTCCTCTTTGGTGTCAACCTGATGGGAGATGACATTCTGTAAATCTGTCTCTTATTGGTTGTTGAATAAAGCACTGTTGGCCAATAGGGAAGCAAGATAGGTGGGACTAGGAATCGAGGAGATTCTGGGAAAGAGAGACAGAGGGGACACCATGTAGGCACCAGAGGAATAAGAGGTCTGGACTCTTTTCTCCAGTAAAAGAAATACTTAGATTAACAATTATGGGGTAAATACTTAAGTCAGAGATAGCCAGTAAGAAACCAAGCAAATGGCCAATAGCTGTATAATTAAGATAGTGTCCTGTGTGTTATTTGGGGGCTCAGACAGCATGGCAGGGCCCAGGCGACTGGCAAAGAAAAGTACACTCTCCATCTTGGATTGAATTTTTCTTGAAATTGTTGTCAGGGAGGTTCCATGGTTAAATAATGAAGGCAGAGTGACAGCTAAGAGCCAAGAAGAGACTGTCGAAAGGTCTTTCAGAGTAGTCCAAGCTCTGAGACATTGGTACTATTCGTACTTCAGGTCAGAAGCTGTCTTAGTTACTTTTCTATGGCTGTTACAAAACACTATGACCAAGGCAACTAATAAGAAAGTGTTTAGGGCTGGAGAGATGGCTCAGAGGTTAAGAGCACTGACTGCTCTTCCAGGGGTCCTGAGTTCAATTCCCAGCAACCACATGATGGCTCACAACCATCTACAATTCAATCTGGTGCCCTCTTCTGGCATGTAGGTAGAACACTGTATATGTAATAAATAAATAAATAAATCTTTAAAAAAAAAAAAAAAGAAAGTGTTTAATTTGAGCTCACTGTTCCAGTGGGTTAAGAGTCCATGACCACCATGGCGGGGAGCATAGCAGCATGCAGGCTGAGAGTTCACAGCTGGATTTACCAGCACAAAGCAGAGCTAACTAGGAGTAGCATGAGCTTCTGAAACCTCAAAGCTGCCTGCAACAAGGCCCCACCTCCTAATCCTGAGAAACATTCCCCCAGGCATTCAAACATATGAGCCTATGGGGGCCATTCTCATACAAACCACAGCAGAAACCCCCACCATATTGGTTTAAGTAGAGAGATTTGTGGTATACTAAAGGGTTATGTGTCCCCAAAACTCATATGCTCAAGTCCCCTTTTTTGATGGTGTTTGCAGGTGAAGATTTTGGGAGACAATTAACTCATAAGAGTAGAGCCTTTAGGGATGGGATCAATACCTTGTCAAGCTGTATGAGGCTGCCATAGGAAGATGGCTATCCACAAAAGAGGTGAAACTCTCACCAGCTCCCACCCGATCCTGCACAAGGAACTTGTACCTCCAAGCCAGCCTTCAGAACTCTGAGAAGCCTCTTCTGTGTAAGCCACCTGGGCATAGCTGCCCAGGCTGACTAAGGCAAGACCCTTGGCACAAGATTTTCATATAGTCTTCCTAAATTGTCACGTACTTCTGGACGTGGGATTCCGTCTGTGTGAGAGCAGTCCTCTCTGGAGCTCATGTACGTAGCAGATCCATTACAGACAGACACGGTGAGTGGGAAGAGCAGTAGTTACAGTCAGTTGTGGACGTCAGGGCTCCTTCATCACCACCACGTCACGCTAGCTCATGCCCGCCCACTATGTCAGATGTGAAAATCACTTGGACTTTATTTTTCCATTCATTCTTTAGCCTCCTTAGCTACCACGTTGGCGTCTTCTCCCCTTTAGAGGCATTTGGTTGTTGGCTTTTTTTCCCTTTCCTTTTTTCACTGAAGCTAAGTGCTCTTTTTAAAGTTTTATGGTTACCTTGCAGAAATCTCATTAGAAAAGCACTTTAACATAGTACTTGGCAACTGGGCATCTGACAGTGTTCTAGTTCATTAGTCTGGAAACCTCCCCAAGCTTGGAGGAGCAGACATTCCTCTGTGGATGGGGAAGCTTTGATCTGTCCTACAGGGTTCAGGATTTATTCCAAAGTCATTTGGGGGTATCCTAAGCCTCACAAAATAAAAATAACACTGATTGAGAAAACAACTGAACTCTGGGTACTGTGATTCCGTGGCAACTTCTGCATCCTTTGAAGACAGGCTCATGTTAGCATACAGCCTCCTGTGCCAGGCAGGAGGGTAGTTGAAGTGGCCTTGTACCAGGTCACGCCCGTGTTCTATGATCCTAATGAGGATGGACTCTTCAAAGCCATACCCGTCTCACTGTGGATAAACGCATTCAAGTCTTATCCATGGGTCTTTAATTTTTAACTTTGAAATTGCAAACTCTCAAATTCCTTCAATGCCGTGGTGCACAGAGAAGGTTCTGAATAGTGGATTGCTTATTTTTAAAGGAAGATGTCTGGGAACAAAACACCAGGCTTTGAAACGTGCTTAGTCAAGCGTCCGGTCAGCATGGTGTTCCTCACAGAACATTGTTTCTCGTCACATTCCAATCAGACTTAATGTCTGCCATACAAAATATGACTCCACCCTGAGGATGCCTACACTTGAAGTAGATAGTGCTCTATTGTTTTAAAAGACATGATACCAATTAAGTATAATTTAGATTTTTGAAGTATGGTCGTGTTTGGGTGCTGGTAAGTGGGTTTTATTTGGTATCCACCCCCACACCTTGAAACATGTATTGTTGTTTGTTTTGATTGAAAGATTTAAAAAGAAATAAGCCACTGGAAAGTTTAAAGAGCTCGCAACCTGGGGTGTGCACCACACCTCCAATCCCAGCACTTGTGAAGCTGAAACAGGCAGGGCCTTGAGTTCAAGCAGAGCCTGGCTTTCCTAGTTTCTCATTTTCTGAATGATGTGTGTTTGTTTGAATGGTATAAAAAGGACAGCAGCCCGGGGAGGCAGGGGTGAGGGGGGCAAGAGTGACTTGAGTTCCAGGCAATGGGCTGGCAGGAGACCTTGAGTGTTCTGTGCCGGGTAGAGGAACAGACCGAGAGTGCGGGACACTTGCTGGGATGAGAAATGGAGCCCACGTTTACTTTTACACTTCCAGAGCAAGCAGAAGAAAAGATAGAAGTTGGTGTGACTTAGTCGCTTTCTGTTGCTAAATAGCGCATTACTACCAACTGGTAAGTTATAAAGAAAACAGATCTGTTTTCACTCGTGGTTTTGGCCCACGGTCAGAGGACCACATTTAGCGATGACCTTCTTGCTGGCCAAGTCCCAAAGTGGCACTAGGCATCACATGGAGAGAGATGTGAGCCACCAGAGAGCCAGAGAGCTAGCCAGATTGGCTTTTACAGCTGACCCAATCAAAATAACCTATTAACCCACTAATCATGAGAGCAAAAGCCAAACTGCTTCAGAAAGGTCCCTTCTCTCCTCACTTAGTAACTCCAAATGGGGGTTAAATTTCAACATTATTAACCTGATTGCATTCTGGAGAGAACAAACTGTATTTAAATGAAGCAGAGGAAAGAATAATAAGCTGTTTTTGCTCTGGGTTAAAGGGGCAGTATACAAAGATGTAAGCAGGACAGTAAAAACAAGAAAAGGCTATCCCACACTAACCTTCATAAAGTTTTGAAAATCACTGTGGCTCTCTGAGGCCCACTGTGGAGTGACTAAAGCCAACCATTCTACTGAGTTGAGGCCCGAGACTGCAGGCCAAGGATGTAGTGGCTCAGCATGTGGGTGTGAGAGCTCCCACCCACACAGTGACCACTACGGGGAAAATGAAGAGTCCAGTTTCCCACAGGGACAGCCCTCCCACAGGAGGGCTAGGGTTGCTTAACCTATACCTAAGTGATCAAACAAACTTACATTAGCACAGGTTGTTTAAGCAAGCTTGACAGATCTGGCTATCTCTCCTTGCACACACAGGATGCTCCTGGTGGATGAAAAGGTCTCCATGACAACAAGGGACAAAGTGTTGGGTCAGAATCAGCTCTCCAAAGGCTGCATCAGAAAGCGTGCTCTTTTTAGATATCAAGTAGTATTGTGCACTCCCCCAAATAATGCCAAAGAAATTTATCAAAGACAGTGCTTTCAGCTGAACCCAGAGGAATGGCTGTCACTTTGGACCAAAAAGTTCTCTTGCTCACTCTTCCTCCAGCCAGATGCAGACATTGCACCAGCGCATGCACGTGGGCCCTTGGGACTTTATTAATCTGGAACGCCACATGTGTTCAGAGCAGAAGACCTATCAAGCGTTGTACAATGAGCCAGTGTGGGAGAATCCATCTTCAATGAATGGCCCCTTTGGTAGCTTTCTTGAATTGGAAGTGCCTCCAACACTTATTCACAAGATCAATGACATTTGTCTTTCAAGATTAATCTTCACCCCTCCTGCTGGGGATTTAGCTCAGGGTCTTCATGCACTCCAGGCACCCCAGCCACAGTCGGTCATAACCAGATGGAAAAGTTCCCTGGTGGACCCTTGAGTCCAGCACTCATCACCCTCTCCCCCAGTTGGTGAGCTGGCTTAGGCATTCTAAACAGGAAACAGAGGTTTTCTAACTCTAGCTCTTGGCTTCATAATTTCCGTGTTTGACTTGAAAACCATTATGTTTTAAGCCTTCACTGACCGTGTTCCAGCACTGAAAATGTGACCCGGGGCACCCATCTCATTTAGCCAGAGGAAAATGTAGAGGCGTGATTTGGAACAGCCTTCCCTTACAAATTAATATTGTTAATGATTTTCACTTATTTCTGTCCCCAAAGAGATTTGCTAAATGAGATCTTGAGCAGGAAAAAAAATGTGCTTTCTTCGATTTGTTACCCGTAATGGAAATGCACAGATAAACAGACTCGGTTCCGTTAATAGACAATCTGACCTTTTTTATCTTTTTATGTTTTGGTTAGGTGGCTGGGGAGGAGGTAGTGATGGAAAACATGTCAACAAATGTGGCTTGAGTACTTTTTCAGTTTTTTGTTTTAGTTAGGCCAGCCTCTCTATGAAACCTCTGTGTGTGTCTTCTTCTGTATGCATGTGTGTATGTATGAGTATGTAATATACACTTACATATGTATCTACACATCCACATACTATATAGACACACTTACAAATACATCTACACATACAGGTACACATACATATACACACACATACACATATACATATGCACATGCACATACTATGTAGATGTACATACACATACATATACATGTAAAGGCCAGAGATTGATATAGGATGCTATTGCTAACCACCTTAACCACCCGTAAAACAGGGTCTCTCACCAAACCCAGAGCTCCGTCATTGGCTGTCTGGTTAGTGAACCCCCAGGATTATTTTGTCTCCACCTCCCCAGCTACAGGCTCACACCTCCACACCCAGATTTTTGTGGGGGTACTGAGAATTCTCAAGCTCAAGTCCTCACGTTTGCACAGCAGGTACTTTTCCACTGGTCCAGCATTCTCCCCAGAACTACTCCCCTGACGAGGCATTATACCAAGAGTCCAGTGGGCATCTTGTAAAATTTGCCTAAATTCCTGTAGAGAAGCTCCGGGTGTCAAAGCACTCCTGCTAAGGGTCATCCTGGTGTATTTTGTTGTGAGGGATAGTAAACAGCCTGGAAATAGAGAAACCTTGACACAGATGCCCATCAGTACACACGGGGATTGGAATACCAATGTCACAGATGCTCAGGGCCCTTATATAAAAATGGCAGTATTTATACACACCTGTACTTTACATCATCTATTGTTTAATTACCTATCATGCTCTAAATTATTGTGCAAAGAGTTGATATGCTGTATGGTTTTGAAAACTGATCCAAAGCCAGCAAGTGTAAGCCAGGTGAAGTGGTGTATACCTGCAATCCCAGCATCCCACACTCAGACTCAAGATCATTGCAAGTTCAAGGACTCCTGGTCTACACTATCTAGTGCCAAGATAGTCAAAGCTGTATAGAAAGACATGTCTCAAACAAAAACAAAACAAATCTGTACATACTCAGACATGCTGCAGCATAACAGATTAATCTCACTGTTCCTTAAAGTATAAATACAAGACTAACAAGACAAAAATACCCCATTACATTTCTATGGGCTGTTTAAAGTTATGGATGCTCATGGTAAAGGCTTTTGCTCTGCGGATCCTGGGCAGTGTGTTTCAGGTCTTTTTAATACAATGAGTTACATAACCTGGAGCATTGTAAGATGCAAAGTACAAATGTTTAAAAAATCCTTGAAATCTATATTATTATCAGTGTACATACCTCCTTGGAGCCAGATCATAATGGTCCCCAACAGCTAACTGCCCATCTGTGGGAACCTCATGTTAGTGCGTGATGTGGGAACCTCATGTTAGTGCGTGATGTGGGAACCTCATGTTAGTGCGTGATGTGGGAACCTCATGTTAGTGCGTGATGTGGGTACCTCATGTTAGTGCGTGATGTGGGAACCTCATGTTAGTGCGTGATGTGGGAACCTCATGTTAGTGCGTGATGTGGGAACCTCATGTTAGTGCGTGATGTGGGTACCTCATGTTAGTGCGTGATGTGGGAACCTCATGTTAGTGCGTGATGTGGGAACCTCATGTTAGTGCGTGATGTGGGTACCTCATGTTAGTGCGTGATGTGGGAACCTCATGTTAGTGCGTGATGTGGGAACCTCATGTTAGTGCGTGATGTGGGAACCTCATGTTAGTGCGTGATGTGGGAACCTCATGTTAGTGCGTGATGTGGGAACCTCATGTTAGTGCGTGATGTGGGAACCTCATGTTAGTGCGTGATGTGGGAACCTCATGTTAGTGCGTGATGTGGGAACCTCATGTTAGTGCGTGATGTGGGTACCTCATGTTAGTGCGTGATGTGGGAACCTCATGTTAGTGCGTGATGTGGGAACCTCATGTCAGTGCGTGATGTGGGAACCTCATGTCAGTGCGTGATGTGGGAACCTCATGTCAGTGCGTGATGTGGGAACCTCATGTTAGTGCGTGATGTGGGAACCTCATGTCAGTGTGTGATGTGGGAACCTCATGTCAGTGCGTGATGTGGGAACCTCATGTCAGTGCGTGATGTGGGAACCTCATGTTAGTGCGTGATGTGGGAACCTCATGTTAGTGCGTGATGTGGGAACCTCATGTTAGTGCGTGATGTGGGAACCTCATGTTAGTGCGTGATGTGGGAACCTCATGTTAGTGCGTGATGTGGGTACCTCATGTTAGTGCGTGATGTGGGAACCTCATGTTAGTGCGTGATGTGGGTACCTCATGTTAGTGCGTGATGTGGGAACCTCATGTTAGTGCGTGATGTGGGAACCTCATGTTAGTGCGTGATGTGGGTACCTCATGTTAGTGCGTGATGTGGGAACCTCATGTTAGTGCGTGATGTGGGAACCTCATGTTAGTGCGTGATGTGGGAACCTCATGTTAGTGCGTGATGTGGGTACCTCATGTTAGTGCGTGATGTGGGAACCTCATGTCAGTGCGTGATGTGGGAACCTCATGTCAGTGCGTGATGTGGGAACCTCATGTTAGTGCGTGATGTGGGAACCTCATGTCAGTGCGTGATGTGGGAACCTCATGTCAGTGCGTGATGTGGGAACCTCATGTCAGTGCGTGATGTGGGAACCTCATGTCAGTGCGTGATGTGGGAACCTCATGTCAGTGCGTGATGTGGGAACCTCATGTCAGTGCGTGATGTGGGAACCTCATGTTAGTGCGTGATGTGGGAACCTCATGTTAGTGCGTGATGTGGGAACCTCATGTTAGTGCGTGATGTGGGAACCTCATGTTAGTGCGTGATGTGGGAACCTCATGTTAGTGCGTGATGTGGGAACCTCATGTTAGTGCGTGATGTGGGAACCTCATGTCAATGCGTGATGTGGGAACCTCATGTTAGTGCGTGATGTGGGTACCTCATGTTAGTGCGTGATGTGGGAACCTCATGTTAGTGCGTGATGTGGGAACCTCATGTTAGTGCGTGATGTGGGAACCTCATGTTAGTGCGTGATGTGGGTACCTCATGTTAGTGCGTGATGTGGGAACCTCATGTCAGTGCGTGATGTGGGAACCTCATGTTAGTGCGTGATGTGGGAACCTCATGTTAGTGCGTGATGTGGGAACTCAGCTTCTGGGTTGTTCTTGATTTTATGGTACCCCTTGGGGAGGAGGATTTTATGGTCAAAAACAAATAAAAAGTCCTCATTCTCCCTAAGGAGATTGCAGTTATTCAGGGAGCTCTCCAGCTGTGGTAGGGAAAGCTTAAAAATGTATTCATTATTTACTACTACATAATAAATTAGTTCAAAATTTAGAAGCCTAAAACAACAATAAATGTTTATTATCTTGGACTTTTCCTCCCTGTGGGCCTAAACTTTGGAATATCTCAACCTCATAGTTCCGACTATAACAGTCAAGTGAAAATAGTCAGAGTGTCAGCCAGGGAGCTAGAGAAATGTCCAGTGCCTGCCACATAACCTGAGTCAGGCCCGCTGTGCTCACCTAAAACTACACGTGACAGCCAGGGTCTGTAAACCCAGAGCCAGGAGGCCAGGGGAGAGGCAAGCAGATTCCTAAAGCTCATTGGCCACTCAGGCTAACCTTTTAAAAAGCTGTAAATTCAGTGGAAGAGTCTCAAAATGCAATGGAATGCCATCAAGGAAGATACCTAGTGTCATTCTTTGGCATCCACACACGTGTATATGCTCTCTTCACAGGTACATGTACCATACTAACATACAAATATACACACACACACAGGGAGGGGGTGGATTTCAGCCAGGACTCCAGTCTGTTGTGGCGTACTGGCATGGCATTGTCATGAGTACTTAGTTTGTTGTCAAAGGGAATTCTCATTTGCTACACCAAAGCATAGTTACAGGCCGACAGCCTTCTCCTCCCAGAACTTGTAACCCCAAATAATGCAAAAAGGAAGCCGCAGTACCACTTAGGACCTAATCTCCGAAGTCAGTATACCATCACTCCCACACATTCTGTTCAAATGAGTCACTGGGATAAGTCCCCACATTCAATGGGAACAGAAATAGATTCTCCCTAAAAAAGGAGTCCATTGACAACAGGATGGGAAACCAACATGGCAGAAGGGATGAATAGGACTTGGATCAGATGCTGTAGAGGCCCTGAGGAACAGTGAGTTTGCCAAGTATCAACAAACTCGCATCTGTGGTCAGTGCAGGGGCTGAGGAACTTACAGCAGGAAACCAGGGTAACAACTGTCTTTCTAATACTGGGAGCCATTAGCCAAGACTCTAGAACTGAGCGAGAAATCAAGAAGAGATTTACCACGGGCTCTTCTAAGTATTTACACCAAAAAAATTGAAATAAATTTATTAGAAAAATGTGAGCAGTCTTATATTCATCATATGTTTATTACAATAGCCAAATTATGGAATCAATTTCAGTTTCTACCAGCAGATGAATGGATTAAAAAAAAGAAATAGTGCTGGGCGTTGGTGGCGCATGCCTTTAATCCCAGCATGCAGGAGGCACTGGCAGGCGGATCTCTGTGAGTTCGAGAACAGGCTGGTCTACAAGAGCTAGTTCAGGACAGCCTCCAAAGCTACAGAGAAATCCTGTCTCGGAAAAAGCAAAAGAGGAAAGAAAGAAAGAAAGAAAGAAAGAAAGAAAGAAAGAAAGAAAGAAAGAGGAGGGAGGGAGGGAGGGAGGGAGGGAGGGAGGAGGAGGGAGGGAGGGAGGGAGGGAGGGAGGGAGGGAAGGAAGGAAGGAAGGAAGGAAGGAAGGAAGGAAGGAAGGAAGGAAGGAAGGAATGGTATATATGCACAATGGAATAGTACTCAAGCTTTAAAGAGAAGGAAATTTATATTTTTAACATGTGCAGAATTA